AGAGAGTTTGCTAAATATATATATATCGTGTTAATCAGATTTAAAATGCAGTGTTATTATACATATTTTCACTCATAAACAACCAATATTAACTCTGCATATACATACAGATATCCAAGCAAACGATTAGCATACAGTTGTAGTAGAATTTTAAAGCAAAATTACTATTTAAAAATCTTTAAATTTTTGAATGATTTATTTATAAGAGAAATTATGAACATTTTATTCAATTAATCAGCTTGCATACTACTATGTTGAAACATACACATTTAAGCAAAATTAAAAAAAATAGTTATATTTGAACAAATAGCAAACAATAAAATATACTGTGTGTAACCTGCTGTAACGATTCACCAGTAGCGTCACCCTAAACAGCGACGCGAAATATTCAGATTTTCTCTTTTATTGTTAAGTCTACAACATTAGCCTGTAAGACGCGTCCTTAAGACAAAAATAATAAAAGTTAAATTTGAAATTTGAAGCATATATGTTTAAAGTGATAAAACTAAAATAATAAATATCAAACACTCTTACCGAATTTCGCATAGACTTTCTATTGTCAAAACACACGCTATTCGCCGGTTCACACGGAACTCTAGGAAGTGAGCTAGTTAATTATGAAGTGCACTTTAAACAACCTCAAAATAAACTTTGGTATAAATAAAATGTGTGTAACTTCATATACCTCAATAAACACCTGATTCTCTTTAGTTGAAACAGGGTAAAACTTTTTATACCTCATGAATACCTCTTTTGTTATAAGTGTCAGGAAAACAACCTAGTATACCTCAGAAATTACCTTATCAGTTTGGTTGATATGAAGTGAATTTAAAACAACATCGAAATGAGTTTAGGTATAAATAATAAGATTTCATGCACCTCAATTAATACTTCACACTCTATAGTTGAAATGAGGTAAATTTTTTTATTCATCATGAATGCCTTTTTTTTGTTTTAAGTGACAGAAAAACTTTCAGTATACCTTGAAAATAACCTCATCAGCCTGGTTGATTTGAAGTGAATTTCAAAGAACCACAAAATGATCTGAAGTGCAAGTAAAACAATCTCGTACACCTCAATTACAACCTTTTTTGAGGTATACTTTGTATGGTTGTTGCCAACCTCAAATATACCTCAAAACAACCTCGATAACTGCAGTTATCGAGGTTAAATATCTCAAAACAACCTCAAATATACCTTAAAGTTTTTTAAAGGATATGCTGAAAGGACCACATTCAATTATAAACTCAACAAGAGTATTTTTTCGAAATATCCAATCAGTTCAAAAGTAAATGCAATTTTAAGTGATTTCTTCGTGATTTTTCCCCTTTTTGCATACAATAGTAATTATTTATCCATTGTTGTCGAAAAATTCAACTGTCATAATAATTTTATTAACTCGCACTTCAATTATTAACAACAAAAACTGCTGTTGTAGTTGTTGTTCATTTAGGTCGCACTAGAGCTGCACAAAGGGCCATTGGCGACGGTCTGGGAAACATCTCTGAGCTGAGGATGATCCGAAGACATGCCATAACAATTTTGATCCTCAGCAGAGGGGTGGCTCCCCCGCTTCGGTAGCCCGACGACCTGCAAGCGAAGTCGAGCACTTTACGGCAGAGCAGTTTAACGAGGACCAATACCACACACCCTCGGTCTCTTCACAGACTGATCCAAGTGGTCACCCACCAGCACACTGACCGCAGCCAGTGATGCTTGACTTCGGTGATCTGCTGGAAACCGTGTCTTAACAATCTGTCCAATGTGGGACTGAAAAACCACAAATAATAACAAAACAATAACAACTTCCCAATAATAACAAAAAAATGGTTAGTAAAATAGAAGAAATCGATCAGATGTTGTCAGAAATAAGTTAGGTCCATGGATGTACGATCATATAAATATCTCAAGGGAGATAACTAAACTAACTTCTAGCTTACATTGTAGAAATGTTGTGCATATGGGTCTTTGATCTTAACAGAAATAGACGGCTGGAAACGCAATGCAACCGCAACACAATTGTTTAGAACGGGCGGCAAATTTTGTGCGGGAAATCAAGTGTAGTTTCTGTAATTAAGTCTGTCAGTACTCTTATGTCCAAAATACTCTTTAATTGCAGAGATTAATATCTCATATGAAAAATGGAGTCTATACAAGAGTTTCTGAAAGAGAGTTTGCTAACAGTTGATTTAGGGTAATTCATTATTTTTCATCTTTGAAATTCTGAGCAAATTTGATTTCCTGTTTTTCCAGATAAAAACATGTACATTCATGCCTGTTTTACGTTATTATTTTTTTATATTTTACTATTCTATGTTAAAGGAAATGTAAGATAAAAGTGATAAAAATTGTTGCTTAGCTTTACACCTGATGTTTTGCAATTATTATGAATAACCAACAACGATTTCTTTTATATACAAACTTGTCTGGGAGTTAATAGAAATTAATGTTTGATGTTTAAAATTTTTTTACATCTTCCTATTGAATGAAAATCATATGCATTATATGCTAGAAATACTTTTTATTCTATCTGTTTCTGTCGAATAATAGTGTTTTCGAAGTTAATTTTTATATTCTTAAAACTTTTTCTACAGAAAGAAAAATAAAGTAGTCATGGAATTTAAAATAAAAATCATAATAAAGAAATAGAAAGGCAGGCAATATCTTTTTACATTTTTTATCTATGATTTGTTGTGAACTTGTTTTTCAATTTTTTTTATTATTTATTAAATTTTTAAAAAATTTTTTTTTGTGGGATCTGGATTGTGCTGATATAAGTGTGACGCTAAGCGATGCGCATATCACAATTGTTATCTGAGTTAAAATTCGATACAATAAGTTAAAATTCTATATAAATATAGATATTGTATAAACTAGTCTGTAAATTCACTATACTGATGTTTTTTTGAGGTGAAAGAATTGCGTGTATTGTTTTTCAATCTATATATACTACCTGGATAAATTAGAATGTTCAAATTAATTTTAAGGGGCTGCTGAATATGTCATATGTCTGAGATATATGTCATACATCTGTAGAGGTGTTATGTTATGAATGGAGCCGGGAAAGTTGAATGTGTAGAGATATAGTATGACTTTGGAATAAAATTTTTGATGCTATGCAATTGCTAAAACATCTATCAAAGATTAGTATCAGGGGTCTGTCCAGGCCGAATTTACTACCGTTTAGCGGTACCTTCACAAATTCAACTATAGGAAAAATGGTAGTTTCACAAAATACTTTTTCTTGAAATTTTATTTTTGTATCTCTCAAGAAACAATAAATCCATGTTTTTACCATATTTTTGTGTTAATTTTTTTATACCTATAATTTTTAATTTTTCGCAAATTTTGTCGAAATTTTCACAAAACAGGTACCTCTCAGAAAAACCTAGACAGACCCCTGAGTATAATTTGAAGGTATTTGCTGAAATTCTTGATTCCTTGGCAATTTTTTACTAATATAAATATATTACTATTTTTTCTGTAATTAGTTCATTACATTTATATTAAGTACTTGCTGAATATTTCCTTATTTCTTACAGTACTGTTACCAAAGCAGAATTGAAGCAAATGTATTTGAAAAAACAAGGTATTGCCAAGATGTCTAAGGAAGAAAAAAAACTGTTTTCTGCTGCTGTTGTATCTGCATATACTGATTTCGTGAAAAAGAAGCCTTCGAATTCTGAAGACGCTATTACAGATAATAATATTGAGGTATTAAATATACTTTTATGTAACTTTTTTTAACTTTTCTTCTATAATTATTATACTTATCCAATTCAATATTTTAAATATTGATTTGTATAAATCTATTTATTAAAATGTTTAAGATTAATGTTTATGCTATAAAATGTTTAAGGTTAGATTTTTAATGCTCAATTTTTGTCCCCCTTAATTTTTTATTGTTAATAGCATTAATTCATGTTTCTCAACAAATTATTTTATTATCATATTGATTGCTTTCTCAAACTGCTTTAATATCAGGTAATTCTTTTAATTAAGATATTTTAAACAATAATTTGTATATATATATAACGTCTTTGCCGAGTGGAAGGATTAAAACAGGTCATAGGTCGGGAAGGAGGGTACAAAATTTATTTATTAATTATTAGACAACAGCAGTCATGAGAGTGAGTAAAAGTGCACACGAAAAGTTGTGCTCCTTGGTTATATGTTAGGGAAAATCTTGCAAAGTAAAATCCGCAAAATGTCTTAATTTTGGGAAAGAGGGAAATCTTAGTAGTTGCTATTGGTTTATGAAATAGATCGAATGTTTCCCACACAGAGCAAAGGGAAATATGTCCTGCTTTTAATTAAATGCATACTTGAGCCAAAAATAGATTTAAGAACAGGATGTGGCTTTTAAAAGTGTGAGAAAGTATTTCGATTAGAATAATTAATTAGGATAACATAAAAAGATCAATTGAAGCTTTTTATGTTACATATATATATATATTAAAATATTTGCAACACTATGCTCTCATATTTTTTTTTTTCATATTTCATAACAAATTACTTTATCTGTCATGCAAAAATTTTCATGAATATTTTCTGCTATTTAAAAATTAAATTATATTTAATCTAATCTTTTTCAAAATAAAAATAAAAACCTTAATATAAACAGATTTGTATTAAATTACCTTTACATCTGAAAAAAAAATCTATATGTTAGAAGTTTCCTCTAAATCTGTGTTAATCGATTTACATTATATTCACTGTGTCAATTGTCTGGAATAACTTGCCAAGAATTTCGCGGAGGGAAAAAAATTTGCTTTGATTAACAAGGCAAATGAATGTAGGCAAAAAAAGATTAAAGATATTCTTCAAGAGTATGAACCAGAAAATGCAGATGAAGCCTACTAGATCAAATGTTGGCATTTAAGGATAAGAACCTCTTGTTATAGGCGGATCATTAAAGCCCAGGTGCTTTAAAAATGTGGTAAACCTCCCCGTGGAATATAAGACCAATAAAAAACTTGGATGACGTCTAAATTTTTTTCTGAATGGTTGCTGAAGTAAGATAGAAAAAATGAAGAAAAGGAAGGAAAAAAATTACATTGTTGATTGATAACTGTACCAATCATATCTCGATTCCAAAACTCCATTTTCCAGCCTTTCGATATGGTCGTAATTGAGTGTTTTAAAAGATATCACAGGAAACTTTGAAAATAAAGTAGAAGACCCTTTTAAAGCTGTAAATGTTAAGGATGCAAGTGACGTTGTTGAGAACTAACAGAGAAAATCATTTTGAATTGTTGAAAAAAGGCCATCTTATGTGCTTTGGAAGATAAAATTGTATCTGATTATGATGAAAATTCCATGGACAATGATCTTTCAGATGATCAAGAACATGTTTTGAATCACCAAAAATCTTTTTCCCAACATGAGGAAAATATTGGTAAAAAATATGGTGCTAACATGGAGAACTATTTAACTGCGGATGACGATCTTACCTTTTTCCCAGGATGAAGAGATTCTCTCTGAAATTATCGATGAAATAGAAAATAATGATGAAGAATTCTATGATGATGAGAAAGAAGATGATGATGATAATCCAAGTTAATCCTAATCCTTATTGTCATAGGTAAAATTTTCAATAACGAATATCATTTTCGCGCTTTTGACCCTATGCATACTTTGTTGGTTGACTTAACAGTCAAAAAAATTTGCAAACAAACAAAAATATTGGATTATTTTTAATAAGAACGGTTTTCTGGTATGTTTGTGATCTTATTTTCTGAATTTATTTCAATTGTTAAACCCTAAATAACACTCTATAAATTAATTTTTTATATAATATATAAATGTTTATAGTTAATGCATATCTTAAATTAAAATTTTAAAAAAATCTTATTGTGCCCTCGAAGTATGTAGGCCCTTGTTTTAACAATATATTTATTTGAACTCCAAAATATTGTTGTCGCTCGGTTGTACTGTACTTATATTTTACGTTTCATGATGGCTCGATGAATGTTCGTAGGTACATAGAATATACCTAAATGTTACATAGGCATCGAAACAGCAACAGATTAAAAAACAGAAGAATATGTATTTATTTGCTTTCTTTACAGGTCAATGACTCTAAAAGTGCTTCTGAAAGTACAAGTTCTGATGTTACGGATGATCATTCTTGTGATTCAGGTACTGACATTTTAATATTGCATTATATTATTTTTAAGTAAAGAATTTCCATAACATGATTCTTTTTTACACTAAACATTGAATACAGAGTGTTAAAAGTCTGTAACTTAATATTACTATTTAACTTTAATAAACAAATAAAAAGATATAATCTAGTAACATTAACTAATTTAAATATAAATTATATGTATTTAAATTATATATATTTAAATATAAATTTTTTACATTGAATTAATTTGTCTAGTCTATTGGCAAATAAAATAAGCACTACTTTTAAAGAGATTTTAAAAACTCAATTTCTAAAGCAATTTTTTTTTAAACTGTTAACTAAATGATCTCTACAAAATTAAGTTAAAATTGTGCTTTCATGTAGGTAGATAATTTTATTTATTTCTGTTGTGAAAGGATGCTGTGTTTTGTTATCAACCAGGCTTTTATTTAAGATTTTTTATGAGGAAGGAATAAAATAACAAACATTTAAAAGTTCATGTGAAAATTATGTTTAAAATCATATTAATATTATTAATTTTAGTAGCACCACATTTCTTTATGCCCATATTTGAGTTTACCAGAAAAAAATAATTGCTTTGAGCAGGGTTCATAATTCAGAGGTGTATTGTATTCTCGATTGTATATAGGGTGGGCTAAATTAGTTTCACAATTATCAATTTCTCTCTTTCATCTGATTTTAAAAATGATAGATTTTAATCAACATATAAAATTATTTAATTAAATAAATCTTTAAATCAATTGCTAATTTTAATTATGTATTGGTATGAGGGAATATTAACTAATTGATGCTGGTAATTAATAATTTTTTATGCAATATAGTATAAAAAAATTCCATACATTAACCTAAAATTATTATGAGTTGTTCAATGTTGATAAAATTATACTAGTAACTGTTGAAACTTTCTGTTTTAAGCAAAGTAATTCTAAAATTAAAAATAGTATATTTTATTATACTTTTTAAATAAAGTTTACTTTATTTCACTTAAGTAGAGCTATTTATACTTTTCTTTTTTTGTCTTTTGTTTGTTTTTTAAAAGTAGTCTAGTATATGTATACTGCTCCAAAAAATGTTCTGATTTTTTTTTTTTTTTTTTTTTTTTTTTTTTAATGCTACTATTTATGTTAGCTTCTTGGTGAAATGAAATTTAGATAGATTTTGAAAATTAGTTTCAATGTTAAATAAGATTTGCTTGGAAATGTAACATTTTGCAAATTATTGTTATTTTATTTATTCTTGTATAATTTTTTCATATTAATTTCTATTGTCTTCCAAATAAATTTTTTTATTTAATAGAACTGTACATTATTGATATTATCTTTCAAATATTTGAAAAACAAGACCTTTATAATGAAATAAAGTAATGCTAAACAAATGAGAAAAATTCATTTTTCAAATGTCTCATTTGAATGAACTAATTAAAATTTGTTCATAATTTTTAAAATCAAGGACTTAAATTCTTTTTTTTATGTGCTGTATAAATTTTAGGACAATAACATAAACTGTAACATAAATAAAACATAAAAAAATTTAAAATAAATGTATATTAAAAAGTTGGAAAAGCCCTAGCATCATCATATTTTCAGGCAAATTCATTAATTTACAGGGCAATCATTTACAATCATTTTACAGCAGCATTATTCATTCACCTATCTTCTTAACACAAAATATTGAATCATTTGATAGTGTATTTTTGATAGTGTATTTAAAGTAATTCTCGCTCATAATCAAAATAAAAGTTTTTACTAATTTTCTTTAAAATAAAATATACTAAAAAAAAAAGGATTAATCAATATTCAACTTTAAAGCTTTTTTTTTTTAAATTTTAAATTGAAAATAATGAGAAAATAAACATTTAAAGAAGCATTTTGATAAATTAAAGGTATTCATTTAAGGAAAAATAATGGTAAAATTTAAAAACACCAAAATAATCATTAATATATAACTTCCCCTGAATAAAAGATTTGAGTATCTCTGAAGCTGAATATCAAGTGAATTTTAGCTATATAACTAGACAGACAGTATAAAAAAGATTTATAGAGTGGAATGAAATTTAAAATTACATTTAAATAGTTATCATTAACTAAATAAATCACAAGTGGATTCTTCATTGATACAAAATTTAAAAAAAAACAACATTTCCTAAATAAAAAAAAAGGGGGGGGGG